ATCCGAAGTCTGTGCATAAAATCCAGGCTGATTTTGGACATTAGCATGTAGGGAGTGGAATGCATCAGAGTATGGCCAACTGCTTGTTGTTTTAAAAATGTCTTGGAGATCCTGCTGGTAAGAGCGTGGTGGTGGTGGTGGTGGTGGTGATGGTGAGGACGGACTGGCAAGGAGAAAACCCAGGGACTTGTGGGGAGAAAAGGCTTTGTTAGGAAGAGACAGAGGCAGTCTCCCCACTCAGCTGCTGCAGGATGGAGACAGCAACATAGAGGGCCAGAGGGTTCGTGCCTCGGGGTCCCAGCCCTTGTCAGGAGGATTGTGGACCTGCCCATCCCAGTTCTGCTTCAAGATAAACTCCACCTGGAAGGAAAGTCAACAGACTGAACAGCCAGGAACAACGATATACCAGAAATGGCAAATACTTGGCCACACTCCTTAATCCTTGGCCCACAGGCAGGCATGATAAGCCATCGCGGCACTCTTTCCTGTGGAGCCTGGAGCGCCTCAGACTCTCTCAACACACCGCCAGGCACTGCCAATCTGCACTGGCACTCAAGATCGTCCTAGCTGCCGTCCCGGGACTAACCATTTTCCAGCCCTTTCTTGTTCATAGGCAAGCAGCAGAGCCTAAAACACCCCTCCCAAATAGTCCTGGCAACTGTGTGGCCAGGGAATTGTCACAAACCAGCTGCATGGGCATGAGATGGCTGAGAACTATAAAGTAAGAAGGGGATGTGCCCTGAGACTTCTGGGTCCCTCCAGAACACAGGCATCCACTGTGTCGCTGGCCCTCAGCCCAGACTGTCTCACCTGGTCTTTCAACGGGGAAAGGGTTCCCTTCTCCAGAGCCTCAGTCACAAGCTGCTGCTCCTCAGACAGCTCTCGGGGCCAAAGGAAAAGAAGACAGTGGTTGACAGAAAGGAGAGGCACAGAGTGGGAAAGGGCTCCCTTGGCTGATCAGACCCAGGACAGGCATCGTCGGAAGGTTCCAGAGCCCCTGGGAGTGCCGGATGCGAGTTATTTCGGATCGGCTCCTGCTATGGCTCTTGTTTCCCTGTTAGCCTGCAGGGGTCACAGACTACACCAAGGGGGAAGCAGAGGCGCCCCTCAACGCCTGGCCTGAAGAAGATGGCTAGTCTCTAAAATGGGAGGGCCTATCCCTCACAAAGTGTAAGGGGCAGTTGCACCCCCCTCCTTCCAAGACTGTGTTCCCCATAGGACTCTCTGCTCGGCACCCCCCCCAACATACGGCCAGACCCTTCCTCACCTAGCAAGGCATCCGGGAGGCCCCGAATGGCTTCTGCGCGCGCTTCCACCAAGATCCCAGCAGCATTAAAAACGCGGCAAAGGAGAGGACCAGCTGGGTCCTCCAGCTGCAGCTCAGCAGGGCACAGAACGCCAGATACCTAGGGCCAGGAGACGGGGCAGATGCGCACTTGTGTCCCTGAAGCACATTGTCCTCCGTGTGCCCGCCGCCCTGCCCTCTGGCTCCTCTCTGCCCCAATTCTTTCTTCGGGTCCCTTACTCTTTCTTGTAGGTCCTGCAGAGCTCATCCTTGCCGAGGAACTTAGTGAGGGAGTTGAGCACATCTCTTCGCCTCCTCAGTCAGATCCTGGAGGCTTCTCACCGTGTCCTGCACCTTCACCTCCGGGTTTCTGGAATCCTCCAAACACAAGGACTTTCCTGTAGAGGCAGCAGTTAAGAACCCAGCCCTCCAAGCCCCACAGGCTTCATTGCTAAGGCTCTATTATTGGTCTACCTTTCTTCTGGAGACCATCTTTCTGCTTTCCCGTCTTTCAATCTTTTCCTGTTAAAATGAAGCGTCCTTCTTCCCAGACACCTACCATCATGGCCTCCTACTGACCCCGTTTCCATCTCCTCAGCTCACCCCAGTTTAGTGCCAACCCTAAATTCTTCTCCACCTCCAAGAAGAAAACAAAACTTAGTTATTTCCATTCAAAATGCAGTCCTCAGGCCACACTGGGAGTAATTAGGATTTAGAGAAAGTTAAAGCAGTGGACCTCAGCCTTGATTGTGCCTGAGAATCACCTGGGCGTTATTATAACTCTGATGCCCAGGCCACACCCCAGACCAGTTAAGTCAGAACGTCTGGAGACAAGACTCAGATGTCACTAATTTGGTAGTTCTTCCAGGTGATGCCAGTGTAGAACCCAAGGAGAATCACTGTGTTTCGAGGCGACAGATGCAACCTCCAGAATGAAAGCTTGTTGGGCACTGCTTCCCCCCTTCCATACCCACTCAGCTGACCCCACCTGAGCAGCAGTCTTGAGTTAGGCGTGCTCAAGGCTGAGTGGGTGCAGCCACCCTGAACATCCTTACCTGAATAGGATGACCCGCCATCCTTCTCTGCAAAGAGAGGAAGAATTATTTCAGAGTTTTCAGGTCACCTCCAGCCTATGTAGACATTCTCTTCCCGGCGGGGGAGGTTCACATTTCTACACTCGGAGCCCTCATTGCCCATGCCAGGGAATCTGGCTCCTCATCATTGTGCAAGTGGGAAAGCACAATATTTGCAGACCCCTTCCCACAGCCACAAAGACGGGTAGTCGTAGCATTGCGCCTAGATGGCGGAAAAAGAAATCAAAGCCCAAAGAGGGTGCGACGTGCATTTAATCACCCAGCAGATGTGGGTGACGCCTGTCTATATCCCTTCCCACGTCCTGTGAAACAGGACAACCCTGCTGGGATCTAGGGCAAAACCTAGAAATTCCACAGGAAGCTACGTCCAGAACCTCAGGAACCTTCTAGTCTAACCCCTTCGTTTTTGTATTATCTATCTACCTACTTATTTTGAGGCAGGGTCTCACTCTGTTCCCCAGGCTGGAGGCAGTGGTACTCACTGCAGTCTCAAATTTCTGGGCTCCAGCGATCCTTCTGCTGCAGCCTCCTCAGCAGTTGGGACTAAAAGACATGCACCCTTGCATCCAGCTAGTTTTAGCCTCTATTTTAAAGTCCAGGAAATGGCGGCTTGGGAAACCATAGCGCTAATGGCAGAGTGGAACACAGACCCTGAGGTCGGCTCAAGTCCACAGCCAGTTTTCATAGCCAGTGCTGCTGTATGGGAACCTGCAAGGTAATTCAGTTGTGCTTCCTAGGCCAGTAAGCCTTCAGGAGGGCTGTAAGCCCAGGGTCCAGCAGACTGCCCACACAAAGCAAGCTAGCGTTGTCCCAGGAGCAGCCTGGAAACCCTCGTCCAAACCTCAGTTGGGCCTGCTGCTCCCACAGGCAGAAGTTGTTCCTGCCCTTACCTCGGTTCCCACCTCTGAGTGCATCCCACTATATTCTTAGCCCTAACAATTCTGTGATTCCAGTCCATCTGTTGTCCTTTTTTTTGCTTTGTAGTAGGAGTGTCACGCTGCTGCCCAGGCTGGAATGCAGTGGCACGCTCATGGCCACCGCAGCCTCGACCGGCTGGGCTCCGGTGAACCTTCTGCCTCAACCTTCCGAGTGGCTGGAACTAAAGGCACACACCACCATGCTGGCTAATTGTTTTCATCTATTGTACAGACGAAGTCTCACCATGTTGCCCAGGCTGGCATCAAGCCTGTGGGCTCAGGCAGTCCTCTCACCTTGACCTCCCAAAGTGCTACGATTACAGGCATGAGCCACTGCACTTGGCTTGTCCTTTTTTAAAAAAAGTATCCTTGCTCATCCTGAAATGATAAACAGGAGGCCCAGCAGCCACTCATCTTCTGGAAAGGATTTTGTATTCTCCCAGAAACAAGTATCTAAACCAGCATCCAAAAGGAGAAAGACCAGTTATCAGAGAGACCAGTTCTCCCTGAGTTCCCTTTTCTAGTCCTCCGCAATCCCTACACCCTTCCTCCAACCAAAAAACAGCAAAAGACAATTAGTGGGTGACTGAGATGGGAGTCAACACCTCTAGGGAAGGGCTGATGTCATGGTGAGGCTGATCCTGGGTCAGCAGGGCCGTGTTCCTGGGTCATAGCATGGAGCCTCGGTCGTTCCCAGGCCTTACCCGCCCTCTTCCAGGAGCACTGCCCCCACCTCCAAGTTCGCCCGCCACCCACCGTAGGCTGACACAGGACCTGGCTGAATCCACCCCCACCCCACTCATGTGTTCGGGGCTCCCTCATCCTGCTCCCACCAGGCATTGCTTGCTTCTTCTCTGCTTGCTGGGGAAGGTGAGCTGCTCTATCCGATAGCCCAGGACCTGATGCGGGGGGACGGTCACCTCCCTTTGGTGCTAGGAAAAAGGAGCGCACATCGATGGGTCCCCCAGGTGCTCTAGGTAGTTATCTTGCCTGATCGTCCAGACAATCGTGTGAGGTAGACATTTGTATCCCCACTTTATAGATGAGAGAATTGAGACTCTGAGAGGTAAGTAGAGGAGCCAGTCTCACAGCTAAACACAGTCACAGAGCTGAAATTTGAGCACACATCTGACACCAAAACTCATGTCTTCGCCACCGTTCATTCAACACATGTCTGCTGAGGACCTACTTTGTTCTAGGCATTGTGGCTCCGGTCCTCCTGCCTGCTAGAAAGAGAGGCAGACAGCGAACAAGTAAAATAACACCTGTGTAACTAGGAACCGTGACGAGTGCTGTGAAGAAAATGAAGAGGGGACATCACTAGAGAATGACAAGGGAGGGACTGAGCAAGACCACACACCCTTTCCGCGGACAAGAAGGCCAAGGAGCGGCCAAGGCTGCTCAGGGAGGTCTGAAAAGTCCAGAGTGGGCTGGCAACCCTTGATCTGCAGGGAGTGGGCCAATGCTGGCTCTCCCACATCCCTGACTCTCAGGGTCCTAACCTTGCGCTCACAGCTGAGACGGCCCTGATAGATCTGGCCCCAAAATGCGTATTGCTGTTGGCTTTTCAGGGTTTCCTCCTTTGCATTCTCCAGAGTTTCTGCCACCAGATACAGGTTTTCTCCCTTGAGAACTGATTGGAACAAGAGGGCAGTTCCTGCTTCAGCTTCCTGGACAGAGTAGAGAGAGAAGAGATTCAGGATCTCAGGGCCCCACCTCCTAGTGACATTCCTTCCTCTCCATCAGCCTATTTGAGTTTAAAGTGCTTCTGGCCAGGCACAGTGGCACGAGCCTGTGATCCCAGCATTTGGGGAAGCCGAGGTGAGAGGATTGCTTGAGCCCAGGGGTTTGAGATCAGCCTGGGCAACTTGGTGAGACCTCACTCTACAATAGCTGGGCCTCGTAGCACACACCTGTAGTTCTGGCTACTTGGAAGGCTGAGGCGGAAGGATCGCCAGAGCCCAGCAGGTCGACGCTGGGGTGGCCAAGAGCGTACCACTGCACTCCAGCCTGAGCGACAGAGTGAGATTCCGACTCAAAAAATAAATAAATTAGTTGGGCATGGTGGTGTGCACCTATAGTTCCAGCTACTTGGAAGGCTGAAGCAGAAGGATCGCTGGAACCCAGCAGGTCGACGCTGGGGTGGCCTTGAGTGTGCCACTGCACTCCAGCCTGGGCGACAGAGTGAGACTCTGACTCAAAAAAGAGAAACAAAAGGCACCCACCCCACTCAGGAAGGGCTCACCAAGATGAACTGCGGGTGCTTTCTCCTGCTTTACTCCTCAAACTCCAGCAGTCCCAGCTGAGGAAGAAAGCAACAATACTGCTGCAGGGGACAGCTAGTGATGCCTCTGAAATGGGAAGCACCATGCCCTCCAGCTATCAGGGCCTCTGTGGCATTTGACTGGTGCCACCCTGGTGGGGTCAGACAGTGATACTCTCTGTACAAGAAATGTTCTGCAAGGGTGCTTTGATCTCATCGTGCTTCGGCTCTCTTTCACTGAGTATCTACTGTGTGCTTGGGGCCAAGAGAGGAAAGTTATTAAAGTCAGTCTTCGGACCTGGAAACCACTGGCTTGCCCACAAGGCAGAGTGAAACAAGCACAAAATATTGATGTGGGCAACTCTGTATGGGAGAGCACTTTTAAGAGCATCTCTTAAAAGCAGCAGGTTGGTTGAGTGAGTGATCAATCACCCTGGAGAGTCGCAGGGTTGTGAGTGAATTGGAGGCATCAGAAGGCGTCCTGGAGGCGGCTCTCGGGAGAACGAGGTGGAGAAGCGGAAGGCATGCTTGAGTAACGGAGTGCTGGGAGGACAGAGGAAGCGGCTACCCTGGAGGGCTAGTGCCCCCCCCTCGTGGTGCCCAAGGTGGGCTGCTGTCCCTCCTTTCCCACTGCGGCCTGACTCCAGCCTCACCTGTTCACAAGAGTATCCAGACATTGCTGGGTTATCCGTGTCTGCAGTATCTGAATTTTCTGCTCTTGGGACGCCTGGAAGCTGCATGAGATCGTTATTTCTTTGGAAAATTGCACTGTCAGCTCTCCCTTTGAGTTCACATCGTCCAGAGTTTGGAACTCAGCCTTTCGACCTGGAAAGCAAAGGGTAAAGGTCATCCTGGAGCTGACACAGAAGACCTCTCTCCAGAAAACCCTCTCAGGAGCAGCTCCAGCCTCCACCGGCCTCTCCTTCTGAGGGAGCCCTCTAGCTGTGGCTCTCCAGGAAATGCTGTTCTCACTACAGATGGAGTCATCATGGGGTCACGGGATCCCAGGTGTGAGCCCACTCTTCCCCCTTCTTACCATGTGTCCTTGGATAAGTCACTACACCTCTCTAAATCTGTTTCTTCATCTAAGAAGGAGAATGTCAATAGCACTTACTTCCTGTGCTGGGGACTTTTTTTTTTTTTTTTTTTGGAGGCAGGATTTATTGAGAGGTCAGAAAAGCTCCCACAGTGGGAGGGGACCTGAGGGGGTTGCTCTATTGGGGAAATTAAACAAAATAATGCAGTTAAGCACTTAACAAAGTGTCGCCAGGCTCGGTGGCTCAACCTGTAATCCCGTGCCTTTGGGAGGCTGAGGTGAGTGGATTGCCTGAGCCCGCGGGTTCGAGACCCGCCTGGGCAGCGAGACCTCATCTCTACAATAAATCAAACAAAAACAAAAACAAAAAAGCAAAGTGTCTGAGCCAAGCACAGTGGCTCATGCCTGAAATCCCAGCACTTTGGGAGACAGAGGTGAGAGGATTGCCTGAGCTCAGGGCTTCGAGACCTTCTCTCTACAATAAATCAAAAAATCAGCTGGGCGTGGTGGCTCGTGCCTGTGGTTTCAGCTTCTTGGAAGGCTGAGGCGGAAGGATCACCTGAACCCAGCAGGTTGAGGCTGTGATGGTTGTGAGCATGCCACTGCACTCCAGCCTGGGCAACAGAGTGAGACTGACTCAGAAAACGAAAGTCCGAGATAAAAGAAAAATAAAAACTATGTACACAAAGAGTACTGTTTGGAGGAGGGAAAAAGAGTAACTTTGCAGTGGAGAAACCTAACAAACATTACCTCAGCCAGGTGATCGAGGTCAGCGTCAACAGTGATAAGTCACGTTGATATGATGTGATGGGAACAGCACTTTACGTCTGTAGTCTTCTTCCCCAAGACCAAGAAACCCAGTCTAACCACGAGGAAAAACCATCAGACAAATTCCAGTGTAGAGGGGCATTTTTCAATATGCCAGACCGGTCCTCCTCAAAATTGCCACGGTCATCAAATACAAGTAAAGTTTGAGAAGCTGTCACAACCAGGAGGAGCCTAAGGAGTCATGACAACTAAATGTAATGCGGGATCCTGGATGAGATTCTGGAACAGAAACAAGACCTTAGGTAAACCGGGCTTGGTGGCTCAGCCTGTAATCCCGCGCCTTTGGGAGGCTGAGGTGAGCGGATTGCCTGAGCCCGGGGATTCGAGACCCACCTGGGCAGCGAGACGTCATCTCTACAATAAATAAAAAAAAAAATCAGCCGGGCGTGGTAGTGCACGCCTGTAGTTCTGGCTACTTGGAAGGCTGAG